ATATAATTTTATATTAATTAAATATAATGTTTTCATTAGTATTAATAAAGTGCAATAGTTAGTGGTTTCAATGATTATTAAAAATCCCTTTCGCTCAATCACAATTCATTCATCTACGTATGACTAATCTTATAGGGGATGCATTTCACTTAACATTCGCAACGCTTGCATGCATCATTTCATTTTTATTTAATATTTGAAAACAACAAGGATGAAATAATGTTTGCGAGCATTAAGTGGAACGCACTCATGGAAAATCATTTATCTTTCAAATATGAGTAATCAGACAATCATTGTAAATCTATAGTTTACATATATTACAGATTTCTACCGATAGAATATATCACAACCCACCCGACCAAAATATCGATTTTGTCTCCTGATTTCTTTGTACAACCTACGATTTATGTTACACATGATATATGACTTTCCCAATCCCCGGGATATTGTGGTTACCAAGACAACCACCGCAGCACTGGTTAGCAACCGCACAGTCACTTTTAACGACTTCTAGAGTCGACCCTCCACCATTTACTAGGAAATTATAAACGCCGAGAAAGTCTCTCTCGACGCGATGGCTACGAAGGAAAAGGAGGATAATGCACGCGAGTTTGCGGGTCATTCGCATTCGGTCGAGTCGGGTGCTACAGCACGGAGCAGCGTGGAAACGTACCAATGAACTCCACGCGAATAGGTTGTCAGGAATATGAAAGAGTTGTACGTCTCAGTAAGCGTGATCATTCGAACTGTCTCCTGCACGTGTGCGATAGTGCATTCGAATTCATTTGTCTGCATATCTGACTGTAGCTGTGAAGTAGACAGCTACACATAATGCAGTTAATTCATTCGTCGCTTATTCAAACTATCTCTATCGTTCATTCAAGCGTTGCCTATTGGTATCATCTTGGCGTGGATCATCAATGGTATCATCTTGGCCTCGATCACAATTAGAGTAGTCCAGCTTTGAGGAAATAAAAGAGAAGAAACATACGAAAGTATATAATGAATTGTTTCAGAATTTAAAAAAACATTGCAATATTAGTATTAAGAATTCTTTCTTACTTCAAATAATTGGACAAATTACAATTAATCAGACCAAACCTCTCTTGGGATTTCCGACTTGGTCTGAAATGACCCTTTCGCTCTCTATTTATAACGCTCTCTATTTATCTGATCCACCGCAGCCGAGGGAGAAGAGAGATGGAAGGACAGAATAGGTTGACCGCAGATCCGCAATTGAGAGATCCGCGGCCCGCGGCGTGTTTGTACGCGCGCGGCTTGCGAGTGCGAGTGCGTGGAAGGATAGTGGGGCGCAGTGATGCGCGGAGCGGCCACTCCGCAGCGCTCCCCTTTCAAGAGGAGCACATAAGATGGTGGGAGGCAGGTCGACGAAGGTAGAAGCTGCGTTCGGACCACGAATGGCGCGAACGGTACGAACACGGAGTTTGCTCCTCGATCATGATACTATCCTGTGCCAGGGGGTCCCCAAGAACTGGCCTGTCTTACGATCAATATTGCTATTGCTAAGATAATCCGCGGTTATTAGGTAAGCCTGTACAGCTACTCTAAGTTTTGCGATTTTTTTCTAATTTTTTACTGAGTCCGAATTAAAAATTGATATCACATTTCATAAAAGAAACATTTCTGAACATAAAAAAAAAAAAAATAAAAATGAGATCTTTACATGAGTGTTATATAAGTTAAACGTCCCCAGTAATCGGACATGTACCTATATCCGAACATTTTTACTCAAAATTAATATTATTATTAATCTTAAATATTTTTTTTATTATTGTATTATAATTTACTGTATTATAATTTAATTGCATTTAAAGATTACAATTAAATTATAATATTAAAAAGCGTATTTGAGACTAATATGAATTTATAAAGTGTTGTATAAATGTTCGGACATAAGTACATGTCCAATCATTGGGACCGGACAGTACCTATGTTCGAACACAAAACTTTATTTATTTAAATTAATATTAGCTTTCTATCTTAAAGATCAATTTGAATTAGTTGTCTTTTGTTATTAAACGTCTATTTATATTAATATTTCCTGTCAGCATATCAATTTTCTAATTATGATTCTAAATATGGACAATTACGTCCAACTGGCTGTCCGGCCACTGATACATTGACGCATTCTATTACTTATTTAAATATTTTAATTAATAATTGTTATAAGTGGGTTCGGATAATTTTTCTTTGCTTAAAAGAGTCTTGAGTTTTCAAATGAATGCAAATATTTATAAGATTAGAAATAAAACTGTTTATGTTAAATACATTACTTTAAATACTAAGCGCCATTACGATCTGAATGTTAAGAGATGTTGAACTATTATATATATTCATTTTAAAAATTAATTTCAGAAATGATAATTGCGTGCCGATATGATTATCGGACTTTCAACCTGAAATATTAATAATCAAATTTCCCAAATTTAATCTTAAAAAACTATAATAAATATATTTATAGCAAATATTTATATTAAAAACCTTCTAATATATTGTAAATTACCTTATTTATGACAATCTACGCTTAAATGTCCGACTACTGGGACATTTACCTTATCTAATATGTTTTCAATTTCTGCGTAATATTGACATATCTATTTTTAAAGTTGAGACTTGTGTTTTAACATAATCAATTTTTTGACAAACATCGCACTATGAATTATGTTAGAAGCTTTAACATAAAAAATGAATTAGAATATATTGACTTTTCGAAATAATTATGATGTAATTATTCCTATTGATATGACAGAAAAATCCAAAATAAAAATAAGTGGACTTTCCATAAATTTTTATCCCCTTTTGATTCATTATAGATTTCTAATAAATAAATACCATGCTTCTTATTTAAAAAATGCTACTTTATTAATAAGAATACTGATTTTATATATATATTATTTTGTCCAATAATTATACATAAAACAGAAAATCATATATTTAACCAAAATAAAATTAACATATTGTTTCATTAATACAGTGTTCTTGAAATATTATTCTTATAATATAATAAATTAGTGTTACATAAGATTAGTGTTACATAAGATTAGAAGTCACATAAGACAAAATAATAGATAGATAAAACTAGAAAATGATAATTTGTGTTTAATTTATAAAACCGCTTCTTATGCACAAAGCTTGCTTGTCAGTATAAAACCAATTTTTTTACTTATTCAAAGTCATTTAAATCATTAAAGTGCGATGTATACTTTATCTCCTTCTGTTATCAGAATCTGTTCATGAAAATTTATGTAACTGCTGTTTGTTGAGCTAAAATTTCAATAACTCACAATTTTATGATTTATATAAAATGATTAATAAAACCAAAAAATGTATTGATATAATTAATATTATTAGAAACATATTCAAATCAAAAGCATTATTCAGTTATTACAAACATATAGTTATTATATAAAAACTATTTTTTCTAGATTTTTATTTAAATAGAATAAAGTGAGAAATCGAATTTTTTGTTCAAATTTAAACAAAATTTCTATTTGAATAAAAACATTTTTGTCCACGTATTCAAATATTTAGAAATTTTAATTACTGATTATTTTAATATAAAATATAAGCGATAAATTTTCTCAAAGATCTCAATAAAAAAAATAATAATATTTATAAAATTTATCTCCAGTTTTTTTCCTTGTTTTCTTTAATTTTTGAATATAGAATGGTTTGATGAAAATTTATATATATTATGTCTTCTCTAATTATTAATTCTTTCATTCCTCTATCCGTTTTATTTTCTTCAGTATATTTTTAGACATAGAACATGCATTTACCTGATGAAATCTATAATTAAATGTTTTCTTAAGAGTTTTAATTTTATTATATTAATATTTTAGTCGAAAAATATTAATATTAAACAAATGCTAAATATCTGATCTTTTTACTTGTTTATCGTAAAAATTACATAAAAGTTATATGGACTCAATAAAAGGACTCAATAAAAAATAGTAATATCTACAAAATTTACCTTCATTTTTCTTTTTCATTTTCTTCATTTTTTGAACATAGAATGATATGATAAATACTTGCATCTGCTATATCTTTTTTAATTTTTAATTGTCTTATTATTGCTTTATATGTTATATTTTCTTTAGTATTTTCATCAATCTTTGACATCATCATCAATCTTTGTGCATTTATGTTGTGGCATTTATTCAAGTGTTTCTTTAAGTTTCGTGTTGACCCCGAAGATAATTTATATAAGTGCGATCACAAATATTACATAATATTATATTTTACCTTGTCATATGATTCTATTTTGACATATTGTCAATCCATATCCAGTTATAAATTTTCTTTTTACTCATTGTATTATGTGAATATTGTGAATGTATCCTTTCCAAATGTCTATTGATATTACTTTTTGAAGCACAAATTTTATTACACAGCTTGCATTGTACTTTAAATTTGCTTAAATATCTGTAATGTGATCATATCAAAATATCAAGTCATGTTCAGTAATTTCCTTTATTGTGTGTTTGTGTGCGTTTATTAAATTTACTATCTCTGGATATTTTTATCTTTCCAAGTGGTATATTAATCTGTTCGTCGTAGATATAATACTATCAAATAATGCATTTCGCACATCCTTCAAATTTACTAAAATATTGCTATATCGAGTGATCTCACTTTATACGATGTTTTAATTGTTTTATGATTGTTTTATGAATATAACATTAAGCTGTTCCAATTTACCATACAAATTTGTTTTTTACAAATTTTGCATTCTGCCTTAGAATTCTCTAATAAAGTATAATATTGCATTAAAGATCTGCGTAAGCTATCACTCAGTGTTGCCATTATGTCCTCTCAACATCACAAACTTTGTGTTACTAAATACGATACAAGGACTATTTCATGAAAAATTACCGAGAGACATACGAAGGCCAAAAACAGATTCGTATGCTTTACTAAAATGTAAATATTGATATCATACAGTTTAAATTTTTCCTTGACAGCCAGATTCCACTTATCGTTCCACTTATAATTATTCAGAAAAATCTTATAACTATAGTGGATACAAAAAATATTCATACACAGAAGATATCTTTAAAAAAATTTTTAATTTTTGAAAAGTAAAGATAATAAGATAATTAGCAATTTATTAATAAAATAGACTGCATGCTTCTTAATATTTTGACCTAAACAAATATATAGTAATTGAATTATATATTATTTTAAAAATAAGCAAAAATGAAAAACTGTATTATTTGGATGCACAAAAAGTACAGTCGAGAAATTTAGCTTCTATAATTAGGAATACGTACTTTTTTTTATTAGAACAGAACGTACTCATGGTATAAAATTGCTAATTAATATTTATTGTCTATAAATAAGCGTTACAATTGTTATAAATAAAAATAGCATAAATTTTTATGAATAATATACATAAATTTATGTTAATTTAAATTCAAGCTCAATTTGATAATTTATATAATATTCTTTTTCAAGACTATATCAATTTTCACTCTTTCGAGTGAGATTCCACTCCAATGAATTTAGAAAGTACGTATATCTAAGCGCAAAACGACAGCTCGAAGGGAGAGAGAGAGAGAGAGAGAGAGAGAGAGAGAGAGAAAGAGAGGAAAAAAACGGTAATTTCGGATCGGCGGGAACCGGCACTGCGCACGTTCCATCTTAGGATGCTCGCCTGATCCTCGGGGAGCCTCGCGGTGTAGAAACCGGTCAAGGAATGCGTGTAACGCGTGTACATACACGTCACGCCCACTCGTCGTCCCTGTCACGTACGAGGCTCAACGTTCGCATACGCGCTCCGCTTGCGGTCTATGCGCGTGTTGCGCGTATCGCCGACATCGCCGTGCCGTATACACATTGGCACGCACGTACATACGTCGTACGCGGTGATCTCGAGTCCTCGAGTGTATGCGGAGCGACGACGGTGTGCTGTAACGTGACGCGCGCGCGGACCCGAGACGTGCACGTGCGTCTTCGCGTGCACCGACACGGAACACGCGGCTGAAGACGATTGTCGAGAGCAGAGCGAGCTGCCAGGAAACTAGCAAGAGCGACAAGACTCGCTCTAGGAATTTCGCGGTGGGAGAGAATAGTTTGCCTCGGGATCTCTATTTGAGACGCATCAAGACAAAATAAAAACTTTAGTACTCTCGATGCACTCGTATATTGTGTCTATTGATATATATATTGCTTACTATATTGATTACTTCATAATAAAATACATTTCGTCAGAGATACACTCACGTTAGAAGTAAACGCGCTAAATAAAAATAAAAAATAAACGCAAAATAATAAAAACATGTCTAACATCAAACAGATTTATGCGTCGATATTCATTCGCGTAATTTCAACAGATATACGGTTGACGGCTCTTCTAATCACAAAGAATTGTACAATCTTCTTTATTCTTTTTTACGAAAGCAGAAAATTGAACATTTAATTCAATGTTTCTAATAACTGTACGTTACGATACGTATATCTATTCAAAAGATCGCGTTACGCAAACAGAATATTTCTAACGGTGATAAAAAAGTGTAAACTTTATTAAATTATTTCCCAAGAAGTATCTTTCTCGTAGCTCCGAAGTTTTGCCCGGCTTGTGTAGCGCCTTTATTGGTACCAGCTTGCAAGCCAATGAGTCCCTCGCCAGCCCTTAGTTGCTCTTCCGTAAAAGCCCTCTTGTTCTCCTCCGCCGGTTTCGGACCTAGCCAGGGTCCGCGCCATTCCGGATGCTTATACGTCTATAAATTAGTACAAAAAAATCTACATTTTCTTCTTTACTTATTTAATATGATTAAGAAGGTAATACAATCGTAAAGTGCATGCTTATTTTACAAATGTTATCTAAGTACTCCAACTTCAAATTTATAAAATACATGAAATTTGACATATGTTTATTAAAAAGCTTTTCTTGAAGGATCTTCAGATTTTAATGTAAAAGCGTGAATAGTGTAAAAAATTTAGTACAACAGTAATAAGACAACGAGATTATCGTTAATTAATTACCGTCCGTCCAATAGCGAAGATGGTGTTTGTCACTTGAGCGATATTTTTACGTTCAATCAAGTCGACAGCTTGGAAGAGATCAACATCGGGTACTCCGTATTTTACGCAAGCTTTCTGGAATCTGAAAAAGAAATTAAAATACATCTCTTCAATTCAAATGTATATTATATAAACTTATAATTATAGAGAGGTAAAAAAATTTACGTAATTTTAGATGTTCAATTTAATCAAATATTTTGGAAAATTAATGTCGAAGAAATATCGAAGAATCTCTTTGAGGAATTGTGGAGCTCATGGAATAATGTCGAGGACGGTAGCAAGTCAAAGGGAAGACAAAGGCGGGGAAGAAACAAAAGAGAAGCACACTAAGTTCAACTCCTTTATACGGCTGCTCGCCTGGGCTTCGTCTTGAGCAAGTGACGCGCTTCTATTGTTCGGTCGCTAATTATCGCCGCTTGATAATTAACGGATTGTGATTTATGCAACCAGCTGAGAGTGCGATAAGGCGATGGCCTTTGTTCTTCGTGCCGCAGAAATGACGTGTCGCGTGTGCCCGTATACCAGGATAGCAGAATCACTTTCCGTTTTCAACATTGAAGACGGTAACGCCCCGTCAATTACGCCTATCGCTTATCGCGAACGCATTATTCTCGCAAACGTTCCCGAGAGTGTATAAAAAATATGAAAATTCGAACTTTACTTTTTGCAAATTCAAGTATGTAAAAAGTGACTTTAATATATTATGTGTGTGTGATCAGTTTCCCGCGTAAAAACACACTATATTGCATACAATACAAAAATGGATATAAATGTGCAGTGTAGTGTCATTTTTACACGGAAAACTAAAAAATACACATATTAAAATTACTTTTTCTACGCACTTGGATTTGTAGTGTGTTGTGTAATTTATTTATTATTCCCTTGATGAAAATAAAAATCGGATGTAATGGAAGAATAACAGAAACGTAAACGAAATTTCTTACACTGAAAAAAAAAAAAATCTTAATTTCAAAGAAATATTTCTTTGCAATTTATTATACAATATCATATTTTCCAAGAAATTTTCAATGATCCAAAGAAATAATTTTTTTAATAAAGAAATAAGTAAAGGAAATAAGTAAAGAAATAACCCTACATTCGTTTACGCAGTGGTTAGCGCAGAAGTTACTTTATCCTTGTTGTTCACCGAGTGTTAAACAAGATTTAAATGATACTCTAAACGAATGCAGTCATATTTCTTTGAAATTAAGATTTTTTTTTTCAGTGTAGAAGGTGCGAAAATTGGCGAACAATAAAATATAAAAGAAACATTTATGCATCATCAGGGCCTCACATACAATCGCCTTTAATATCTAGTTCTATTTTGGAAGATTCAAATTTTTCAATCTATGTATCTCGCACTGGCAGAACGAAAGGAATCTATTTGATTGTGATCGTGAAAGTATAGAATGTTTTGCGAGATGGTAAATTTTATAAAGACGAATAGAAGAGAAAACGTCTGACATGTTGGAAGTATTTAGCACACGCCAAACATATCACATATAACCTGCTCATTTTGATGTGTTCCTGACGCTCGATGTGTCTTCCGCATATGAGGTATTGAATAACAAAGCGATTTATCGTGTAAGATAGATATTAAACCAATTCAAAGAACAAAACAAACATGTATCTTTCTTAAGTGAGACTTTATTTTTCACAATCTAAACGCGATAACATCGCGAAAAAGTAGAAAAATCAAAATATGCTTTTGTAATGTGTACTCTGATATGCAGGGATAAAGTTCCCTATTTAATTATAAGAGAAAGAGTCAGAGGGAGCCTTAAGAAAGTGGAAAACATAGGATTTTACATAGCAAATTCAAATATAAACATATATTGAATAGTTATATGTATATTTAATTATATAGAGTAAAAAATGCTCGTATATTTTCTTAAAAATTAACACAATGTCATGGCTTATTTCGAGCTATAAAAAATTAAATTAATATAATCTTTAAATTAATATAATCAACAAACATTTCGGTTTACAAAGCCTTCCTCAGTGCTACAACATAGAAATACAATCTTAAATTAATATAATATCTTAACCAACAATAAATAACGGATACAATGGAAATTTAAAAACCATCAGTAGTGAAGTGTCAAAATATAAAAAAATTCGAACGTCAATAAGTCCCAGATGATAATAAGATAGGAATATTTGGATACTTCAGTCAACAATAGATTAATTATATTCATCGATAAAATAGATTTCACCAAATTCCTCGGTTGAGAATTCAGTTTGTCACAGACTTTGTATCAAACGTTTTGGGAATTCATTAATTACGAGTATTTTATGATATTCTGTAGAACAAATAGATTTATTAAGATAATATATTATTAGTGTGAATAAGAGGTACAAAATCAAATAATAACTTACGATAATTTATATAAAATACTGTAATCTAAATTCTCAATCAAAGGTCCGGTTAAGTATATTAAAGATACTGCTCGTTTGAAAATTAATTGATGTGAAATGTAAGTCAAATAAAAGTAAATCAATAAAATCGAATGTATAAACAAATCTGTTCAAAACTTGTGACCATTTATGTTCCCGTATATTGTCAAGTATGTTAAAATAAGAATTATCCAATAACTCAATATCTTTCATTAAATTTATCTTTCATTAAATTTAAACC